CCTCAAAAAATTAGATAATTACCACGTAGAGAGATTCATTTGAGATTGGAGGCCAACCCTGCGCCTTGCCCCAGCCTGCAAGCACCTGTGAGTACCATACGTCACTGTGCGATCGTTCCTAATAATACACGAAGATTTTGTGAATTAGATGTCATTGTGTCCACTTTGCAGATGGAGAAATGGAGACAGAGAGAAATGAAGTACACAGATCCACACAGATGAAAGATAATTGGCGCTGGATTTTGAAAGTCTAAGCCGACCGGCTGGCGATTAGTTCTTTGGACCACCTGGCCTACTTGCCATAGGAATTCCGAGCTCTGCGATACTGGTTACCCGAGGTAGAAATAAAGGAGCAAAGAGGTTGAGAGCTCACTGCATATGCGCTCAAGTTCTGTCATCAAGGTCTGTGGAATAATGGTGGCAGGCCAGGCAGCATGATGGATGAATCACTGAATAAGAGAGTGTGTGTGTGTGTGTGTGTGTGTGTGTGTGTGTGTGGTATGGTATGTGTGTGAGTGTGTCTTAGGAAAGTCCTTGGTGGAAGCCCTTGCCTCAGAATCTTCTTTTTCTTACCATACTACTATCGTATTTGTGCTGTGGACCTGCTCCCAGAGCCCACTAGGCAAATCAGTGCATTTCTATTGAATAGAAGCAATAAGCAGATACATAATGCAGAGGCCTTTGCCTTCTGGCTTATAACTTTAGACAAACATCTCCTGTCTGATGTTGCCTGTCCTTGATGCAGGAGGCTTCTGAGTGGGCCCAAAGTTGTAGCTGAGTGCAACTTGGACAACTAACAGAAGCCAATAAAAGAAGCTTCCAGTGTGCTTCTTGCAAGAGGATGAAAAAAAAGTTGTGTGGGCAGATGGGAACTTATGTGGAGTTTTTAGGGTGCTGTATCCACCTTGAAGTCCAGATACCTGCTACAGAAGATACAGGGACCTGATGTGGATAGGGACCAGTGCTCATCCTACTCCCTGTGGTTGTGACATGATTACCCACAGGGCTGTGGCTTTACTTAGCAGCTATGGCTCACAGGCTCACTTGTTCATGACCAGCCTTCATGTGTCTAGTTGGCTTCATCCCGTTCTTTTGGAGATAACTGCATTTCCCTCAGCACAGAGAGCTATGGGACAAGGGACAACAAGCATGTGGCATTATCGCTGGAAGAAGGGCCTACCAGGCAGACAGCTGAGAGGAACTCAGCCTGTCTGTCATCGCCCTCAGCCCCCAAGGTGCCCAGGTATCACCATCATTTGCACTTTTTTTTAAAAAACAGCCCCTTTTCCTTCATTACCTTTGGCTTCTCTCACCTTAACCAAGTCAGCAGTCTCCCAACTGGTCCCCTGGCTCCTGATTTGTCCTTCTTCTAATACTCTGCAAGAATCTCTTTTTGAGATGGACATAATATTTCATGCCTGTAATCCCAGCTACTCAATAGGCTCAGGCAGGAGAATTGCAAGCTCAAGGCCAGCCAGGGTTACATAGCAAAACCCTGTGTCAAAACAAAAAACAAGAAGAATACTCTTTTTGAAATCATATTTGACCACATCACTCCTTTGTTTAAAACCCTCCCATGACTCCCACTGCCTAGAAAGTACGGTTGAAGCTCTTTGGACTGCGTACAGTTGCTTCTTAGTCTGGCTCTTGCTAGCCTTTCCAACTTTATCTTTCTCTATTCCTCACCCTTCTATACCATTCTCTATGTTCTGGCCATATCAGTTGTATTTACAGAGCTCTGAAATGCTGTGTAATTTCACACCTCTGTGTCTTTGCACATTCTCTGACATCTAGAATCTCTGTTCTGGCTGGCTGTTGCTGCATAAGAAGCCACACTGGAACTTAGTTGGCTACCACAAAAATTCCTTATTAGCATGATCCTCACTCAGGGTCCCTGCTGTAGTTGAAGTCAAATGTGACTGGTGACTTTTATACTCATGCATTTATCTAGGGTAGGATGACTGGAGTAGCTGGAAGCTGGCTAGGCATCTCCCTCCCTCTCTCTGGGACTATTTAGGCTTCCTCACAGCATGGCCATCTCAGGTAAGTTGGACTTCTTTCATAGCAGCTGGCTTCCCACCAGGTATGCATTCTAAGAGACCAGGCAGAAGCTACAAGGCTTCCTGTGACCTAACCTTAGAATTCTGTCAGCATCATTTCTGCCATATTCTTTTGATCAAAGCATCAGAGGCAGCAGTCAAAGGCATGGAGAAATAGAAATGTAAGATTAGCTTGCTTGTCTAAAGGGAGTAGGAATTGATGGTGCCATGTTGGATAAACTGCTACAATGTCTTTTGTCCTCTTGTTCTCCTGGAAAATTTCTATTTGTTCATTTAACATCCAGTCCTATGTCACTTTGGTGATTTCTTCTCTTTTCACGGAGGCAATTAGCCTCCATATTCAAGAAAATACTTCTAGAGAAACTGAAAAAATAAATCTGGGAAGAAGACTACCTTGAATATGTATCTGTTACTACCCTTACCATACTGCATTGTATTTGCTGGTGTTTCTCCTTCTTCACCCTCAGTCCTTTGTGTCCTTGTGATCTAGCTTACCACTGACACACAGGTGCTCAGTAAATACTGATTGAATTGAATTGAGTAGAGGGCCTCCTCCCCTTAGAACCAAGCAATCAGTCAGTCACAAAGAACTTGTGGACCCCACCTCTTTTTACCCAGCAATGAGTCATATAATTTGATTTCCATTATGTAGCCCCAGCTCTCTGTATTTCAGGTTTCCACAAAGATGGTAACTATAATATTGAGCATGTATCAAATGTGTTTATGTACTAGGCATACAGTCACTGACCAGAGATATAGGTCAGGATCCAGAATCTGTTTTCCTTCTGTCTTTTTTTGAGCCAGGATCTCACTATGTAGGCTGGCCTCAAATTCATGATTCTCCTGTCTCAGCCTCCTAAGAGCTGGGATTACAGGCATGCTTCACCATGTTGAGTGGAATCTATATTCTTAAATTGTCCTGAATTCACTTTTTTCAGAGTCTATTATTTTAACAGAATGTCACCAAGATAGTAAGGGGTGTCACAGGAGGAGCACTGAGGGAACAAAGACTGTTCAAGCTGAAGAAGAGACTCCTTGGAGAGAAGTCCTTAAAGATTCAAATAGTCAAAGGACTGCCTTGTTCATGGTACTTTCTGTTGGGGTCAGCAGGTGGATGCTGCAAGATTGGTAGCACCTTGGTATAATGGAAAATATTCTTTCCATTATAGTTCAGGCTGCCCTGAAAAGACACTGGGTGGGCCCACATCTCTTGGAGGATGTACTCTATGCCCCACCCTTTTTTTGGACAGTATTGTGTTTTGAACTCAGGGCCTTGCCAAACAGGCAGGCACTCTACTACCTGAGCCATGCTCCAGCCCTTTTTCCTTTACTTATTTTTTGACTAGGACCTCATGTTCATGCCTGGGCCAGTCTGGATTGCAATCCTTCTATTTATGCTTCCCACATACCTGGGATGACAGGTGTGCACCAATATGCCCAGTTTTTATTGGTCAAGATGGGGTCTAGTGAACTTTTTGCCCAGGCTGACCTTGATCTTCAGTCTTTCTGATCTGTGCCTCCTGAGTAGCTAGGATCATGGGGTGGGCCCTCACACCCAGCCTGCCTACTTCTCTTTTGACATTCATTGGCCCTTCTTCCTTAACACCTTTTTTTCCAGTCTGTGAAAAATGTGGTATTTCCTTCCTTGGCATAGAATTTTGAAAGAGGAATTCATGTTAGTTAAGCACTGAGCAGTTTTCAGGGGGAAAGGAACATTGGCTGTGCACAGTCCCCCGTCCCAGTTCTGTCTGATCTTCATGTACCTGGAGGCTCAGGTATCTGAGGAAGCTTAGCCAATGTAGAAGGTATAACTCATTGATACCTCTGGTGTTAGCAATCTACTAGTACTGACTTGAGGAATGCTGGACCGAGCTTGCTTTTGCTCCTGTTGTTACTGAACCTAACTGGGGCTAACTGGAGGCGATGGGAGATGCAGAAAGGACAAAGGATAGACAGACAGACAGAAAGCTGGGGCCAGGTGTGCTGGGTGCTTGGGTGGAGACGCACAATAGCCTCACTGTTTCTTATCTCTATTATTCTCTTCATTTACTCTGCTTCTTTTCTCTATTTTTTCTTTAAGGCCTTACTCCTTTACAATTCTTTAAAACCTTGTTTCTAAAAGTCTTCTTTTCTATTCTTTAAAGTATCTTTCTTTAGACTCGCTTTGTCCCATGTCTTCTCTTAACTGTTCTTTAGCATAATCTCTCTCGAAGACTTTGCCCTCAGACTTGCACTGCCCCATGCTCTCTCTTTAGCTTTCTTAAAGTTTCAGCCCTCAGACTTGCAGATACTCAACAGCAGCTGTTCCCTTGCAAGCTGCCAATCAATTCTATCAACACCTCTTTAGCAGTTACCCTTTGGCAATTCTCCTTCAGCAGTTCTTTTCCCTTCAGCAATCCTCCCTTCAGCAGTTCATTTTCCCCCTTCAGCAATCTCCCTCCAGCAATTTCCCTTCAGCCAAACCCCCTGCCATCAAAAAGCCTCCCCCATCCAAAAGCCTCAAATCCTCCTTCAGCAAGTATTTTATATCCAGTGGTAAACACGGAGGTGGAGCAACAGTTCTCGGGGAGGGGCATGACAGTGAAATAAACAACTTAGGAAAAGCAGCTGAGCTGCATCTTACCTTCTAGCTCTCTTCTGTGGCTGGGGCTGTGGCAAATCTCAGCCTACAGATTATTTGACATAAACATTTTAGGAAAAGCAGCTGCTCTGCATCTTACTCTTGCCCTATTCTGCAGCTGGGGCTGTGCTGAACTCAGCCTGCAGAATACTGAGTACAACTGTGCTTATGTCCTCATAGGCTTCTCCTACTCCACTCTCCACAGAATGCAAGTTTCTTTTTTAAATATATATGGAATATATTAGGCCTGTACTCTACCATTTGAGCCACTACACCAGCCCCAAGTTTTTTTGTTTTTGTTTTTGTTTTTTTTTTGTGGTACTGGGGCTTGAACTCAGGCCTACACCTTAAGCCACTCCACCAGCACTTTTTTCTGAAGGGTTGTTTTGAGATCAGGTCTCATGAACTGTTTACCCTGGCTGGCTTTGAACTGCAATCCTCCTGATCTCTGCTTCCTGAATAGATAGAATGACAGGCATAAGACACTGGCACCTGGTCCAAGTTTCTTTTTTAATGCTGAGAAAATTGTATTTCTCATCTTTTAAAAATCTTCCATGTCCATAATTGCCAGTTGCTATCTTGATTTGGCAAAGTGCTGGCCCCTCCAGTTCAGCAGTTACAGGACTCAAACACAGAAAAATGGCAGGAAACAATTTTGTTTTGCTGGTCTGCAAGGAGATTCCACAGTGGCAACAGATGACATACTGAAAAATACAGAGCATTCACTCTACCTATTCCCTTGCAGACACTGGCTAAATACACATTGATTTGATAAGATGATATTCTGTTCAACCAAAAAGGCTGTGAGTGTCACAGCATAATTTTGAAGCTAGAACATTTACAGAAGTCTCACATGATAAAGTCAAGGTTATGTGCACAGTTCGTTGTTAACTTGGTGATTCTTTCTTTCTGTGTCTTATGTCTCCTAGCCAAAGACCAGACCTTTCAGGGGGATGAAGAGAAGGACCCTCCAAAAAGCTACCCTTACTCTGTAGAGACCCCATACGGCTTTCACTTAGACCTAGACTTCCTTAAGTATGTGGATGACATTGAGAAGGGAAACACAATCAAAAGGATTCCTATCCACAGAAGAGCCAAGCAGGCCAAGTTTAGCACTTTGCCCCGAAACTTCAGCCTTCCAGACAGTGGGGCTCGCCCCCAGGCCACTCTTCCCCAGCAATACTGGTCCCCATTGGTGCCAAGGAAGGTGTCACTGGGGACCCAGGAGCAAATCCAGTCCCTGTCACCAGGTGATCCCCCCCAGGCCTCGACCAGTGGAAGTGAACTGAGCTGCCATAGGAAGGCCCTGTTGGCAGAGGCCTCCAGGCTATTGGAGGCTGTCGCCCTGGAGGACGCTGATGTCGCCTCTGGGAGTGGACGGCCCCAACTTTTGAGGGCATCCAGCATGCCGGCCACGCTGCTGCAAAACAGGGCCTCAGAGGAGGCAAGCCTGAGCTCAGGGTCCCCCGTGCCTCCAAGCCTGCCTGCACTCCATAGTGAAAGCAATGTCAGTGATGGCGCCTTTGGCCCTGCAGAAGGATTTGCAGGTTTGCACAGCGCCAGCCTGCAAGCATCAGCCCATGCAGGCAGGGAGCCAGGAGACCTGGTGCAGGGGATTCCAGAGCCAGTCCAGGAGGGGGCTGAGCCTGCAGAGGGGGAAGTGAAGGTTGCAGGTCCCTTGGCTCTTCCAGGCCCTCCTTCCTCATTCCAGAATGCACTTGTTGTCCTAGAGGATGTAGAAGGCCAACACCAAACCAGGGAAGAAGAGGTGGTGTTCACGCCTGGCACCTCAACACCCAGCCCTCCTCCTCTGCCGTCACCCATCCCTGAGAATGAGCTGCCCCTGGAGGATATTGAGCTGAACATTAGCGAGATCCCACCCCCGCCACCCGTGGAGGTGGACGTGAGAAGCATTGGCACCCGGGTAACGGAAGAAAGCCTGGGCCTGGTCAGGATGGATCCCAGCTGCCTCTCCAGCCTAAAGCAGCAGGTCTCAGCTCTTGAGGGTACGTTGTTGGGAAGAACGGAGGAGCTGGCCCAGGTCAGAGTTGCCCTCCAGAAGCGGGAAGAGGAAATCAAGGCCAGAGAGCAGAAAATTCAAGAGTTAGAGTCCACAGTAGCCCAATTAGAAGGAAAGCTTAGCCAAGAGAACACTAGAGATGCCCAGGGCCAGACAGACGCCATGGTGAACACTGACCCTTTCCATGGACACTTCCCAGAAGAGTCATGTGACAAAAGCATTGGGGTCAACCTTCTGAGTATAACAGACCCTAAACTCTGGGGACCTAGAGGGGAAGAAAATGGCCTTCTGTGGGGGCAAAACAGTCACACACAAGGAGATCAGAGCCTTGCACAGCATGTGCTACCACCCCAGCTGTCACTGCCAAAGGGACCCGAAAAGGTCCTAGCCTCATCTTTGTGTAGCTGCCTCTCCACTGAACTCAGGATCGAAGAAGAGGGCTCTGAGCAGGTGAGTGGCCCAGAGGCAGGAGCCGAAGGCCTGACCAGGGCAGCAAACAGCTTGTCATGGAGCAGCAGAGAGGCCACCTTAACAGCCTGGGAGGAGGCCAGTTCAGAGCTCCCTGGGAAGGAGCGCCAGGAAAGGCCACCAAGCTCTCCGACAGATGTCACAATTGGGCAATATGTGAAGAAGATCCAGGAGCTCCTGCAGGAGCAGTGGAGCTGCCTTGAGCACGGATACCCTGAGCTAGCCAGCGCCATCAAGCAGCCGGCCTCCAAGCTCAGCAGCATCCAGAGCCAGCTGCTCAGCTCTCTCAACCTACTGCTGTCTGCCTACTCCGCCCATGCTCCGGCCCAGGAGCCTGCAGCCCCGCCCTCCTCCCCACCAACTGGTAAACACTGGTGCCCAGAAGGGAACCAGTCTCCTTTATCTGACAAATTGAAGGGGGAAAGGGTTTTAATTGCATGAGTATGGTTTTTACAAGATTTTAGCACCTCTAGGAATCCAGTGGAATAAAACTTTTCTGTGTAGCAGTGGGGACCCATACCTCTACTCTTGTCCTTGCTGTAGGATTGGGTCTGGCTGCTCGGCCACCAGATACAGCTGTACAGACAGTGCAGACCACAGAGCACAGGGAGGACAAATAAGAGTGAAGTCCAGCCCACACTCCATGCCTTTCACCCTCAGCACTGAGTCTGCCCAGAGGACGCCTAGTCTCATTTGCATTGCTCGAAGGCCAGGTGCTCGGCCAAGGCCAAGTCTGGGGCCTGTGTGGTTTGCCTGAGTGTCCCTTCCTGTTTCCTGGGCTCTCGTATTCTTGCTTCCTTTCCAGCTCCCCCACATCAGAGGATTTCTCTAGCCTGAATTTCAATACACACACACACACATACACACACATACACACACACAGCAGCCCTTTCTCTCCTAACAGGCCACCACATGCTCTTCACTGTTGAGCAAAGTGCAGAGCCATATTGGGCTTTGCTCAACAGGCAGTGTGCCAGTCTCCTTCCCATCACAGGCCACAAGTTGGTACTTTCTCATTTTGGTGCCAGTTCTAGTCTTGCCATTGGGAAATGCTTCCCATACCATTGAGCACAGTATGAGAAGATTTGTGCCCTTGCTTAGGCATCACTATGCTGTCACAAGTGTCAACTCATACATGAGCCAGGAAGGACCACTGAAGTGCCCCTGAGCAGGGAAGGGTAGTGGACCATGAGCGAGAGACCTGAGTTCTCCTGTTCTGGCATTCACTGAGCAAATGTGAGCCTCAGCCATAGGTCAGGGACAACAATGGCACCTCTACCACATGGGCCTCTGAGGAAGTGCTCCAATGACTCTACTGTGTCATACACACTGAAATGGACATTATTGACAGAAATAGTTCTACTGACATTGACCAGAAAGCCACGCCTCCCACTAAAACCCCCAAAGACCTTTGATTTGCATTATCTGGTCCCCAGTCCCTTTCTACCTTTTTATACACCTGCAACCTGTATCCCTTCAAAGCAAGAGTCCTGGTTTTGCTGCCCCAAGATCATTCTAACCTTTGATGTTGTGTCTGCCTAGAGATCTCCCCGTCGACCAGCCTTAAATCCATAATGAAAAAGAAAGACTATGGCTTTCGTGCAGGAGGTAATGGGACCAAAAAGAACCTTCAGTTTGTTGGGGTTAACGGTGGGTAAGCATCGGTTGTGACGCGCAGACTGCCTTTCCTGCTACCTCTCCTGCTATTGCCCATAGTGCTCTTTTCCCCGGGGAAGCATCTGGTTTTCATTCTTCAGCAAGGGAATTAATCTCCATGGCCCTTTAAAACTCCATGTCCGGTGTTTGGCTCACTGCCAGCTGTGGTGTCTATTAGAACCTCTGCTTTTAATATGTCTTGGCTTTGGGCTCCCCCAGGGCCAGGACCCCAGGTGGTTTCTGGGAATTGGGGCATACCGGACCTTTTGAGGAAAGCCTGTAACTTGAACCACAACACTGAAACTAGCACAAGCGTGTTGATTAGTTGAACATTGAATTTTACTTGCTTATATATGTATGTATTTATTTATGTGTGGTGCTGGGGATCGAACCCAGGGCCTTGAGCATGCTAGGCAAGGGGTCCACCGCTAAACTACACCCCAGCCCAATCCACTTAAATTTTTTCTTCTTTGAACTTATGGTAAACCACACCCAAACAACTAGCAAGCCTTCTATAGTCTAGAGAGTTAAACATCGGATTTAGAATATAGTCCTGGTCACTTAGCAATACATTTGAGGAAGTGTGTTGTTAGGTGATTTTGTCACTGTGAACGTCAGTACTTACACAAACTATGACATTCACTAGGCAACATAAACTCATGGGGCTCCTGTTGTTGATTGATACATTGTTAAGTGGCATATGGTTATATTTTCTAAATCATCATTCAACAAGCATTTACTAACTGCCAGTGATATGACAGACAGTAGGGATTAAAAAATCAAATAAATCCTGTTCCCTACCTTTAAATGAGTCAAGAAATGGAGGGCTAGGGGGATGGCTAAAGTGGTGGAGCACCTGCTTAGCAAGTGTGAGGCTCTGAGTTCAAACCCCAATACCACCAAAACCATTTTTTTTATTAAATACTAGCAATATGGTAGGTGATGGTCAAATAAACCCTGGTCCTTATCTTTAGCTCATAGATTGATCAAGAAGGAGAGGAACGGCCAAAATATGTTCTCTTAGGCAAGGAAGTACAGGAGGCTGTGGAAGCTGGGAGAAGGGCCCCCAGCCCAGCTGGCAGTGGGCCCAGGAGGCTGCCGGGAAGTGGAAGGCCCTCCTAATTCCAGTCACACCAGAAGGAAAGACGTTAGTTGTAAACAGGGTGGCATCATTGTTGCAGGCTGTGTGAGAAAAACAGCAGAAATGATGAAATGGGTGTCACAGTCATCTTACTGTCCTACTTCTGTTGTGTGACCCTGTGGCCTGTGAAGAAACCAGTTTGCTGTTATCATTCCCCAGTTCACACACAGAGGAGGAGAATCAGCCTAACCTCCGACCTAACGTAGTTACCTCACTCTCCCGCTAAGCCACCCCCACCATTCCCCTCTGTGCTCAGACCTGGAATGCCCCAATCACGGCTCCGCCTGCCTCATCCACCCCAGTTCATGCCTTCCCTCGCTTCGCCGTGCTGTGCTCAGGCCCCTCTCATGGCGCTGGCGTTTGCTTCCCCTGTCCGGAGTGCTTCTCCTCCTCATTTCTCAGGATTTGGTATTCTAGTGCCATGGTACTCAGCCGTGGCTGCACACTGGAGACACAGGGGCGAGTCGCAAAGTTCTCAGCGCAGTCCTGAAGACTCCACTCTGCTGTAATTAGCCTAGGTACCATCCACATATGGGATCGCTAAGTACCCCCAGGTTCTAATGTGCAGCCAAGGTTAAACACCTGGGTTCTAGGCTGAGCGTGTTGCCACACATATGTAATCCCAGCTACTTGGGAGGCAGAGACAGGAGGATCATGGTTCAAGACCAACCTGGGCAAAACGTTAGTAAGACTGTAACTCAAAGAGACGCCTGGTATGCTGGTGCACACCTGCAATCCCAACTGCTCAGGAGGCGGAGACAGGAGAGTCACAGTCCATGGCCAGCTGGGCAAAGTTAGCAAGACCCTGTCCCCAAAACAACTAAAAGCAAAAGGACAGGGGCAGTGGCTCAAGTGACAGCACTTACCTAGCAAGTGCAGGGTCCTGAGTCTAATCCCCAGTATGCCAAAGCAGGGAGGAAAGGAGGAAGGGAGGAAGAGGGAAGGAGAGACCCTGTGTTCTAATTGAAGTAGCCCTTCCTCTCGTCACTTTATCCTGTGGCCCCTTTCTATTTTGTTCACTACCTGAATATAATATTTGTTTGCATGTTTATTTCCTGCCTCTTTCTACTAAGTCCCTTAAGGCAGAACTTTGGTATAGCACTTAGAATGCTGCCTAGCTCTTAAGAGGTACTCAATAAATTTCTGTTGAATGAACGCATAAAAATCCAGGTAGTTTTAATGGAAGCAATTCTAAGATGGGCACTGCTTGCTCTTTTTGTTTGTTTGGTTGGTTGGTTGGTTGGTTTTGGTTGAACTGGAGTTTGAACTCAGGGCTTTGTGCTCAGGTGCTCTACCACTTGAGCTTTTTGATCTGGTTATTTTGGAGATGGTGGTCTCAAGAATGTTTGCTTGGACTGGCCTCAAACTGTGATCATTGAGATCTCAGCCTCCCAAGTAGCTAGAATTCCAGGCATGAGCCCCCAGTGCCCAGCTGTCCCCACTTTCTTAATCACAAAAGCAAAAGGTTGTTCCAAGCCCAGTATAGGTTGAAGCCAGACAGAGTGGAGTGTACCAGGAAACAGGCTGGGTTTGCAATCCAGTGAGTACAGGTGCCTTATGTGAGGGCCACCATTTGGAGAAAGAAAGCCATGGTCACTGGCCCCTGTAGCTGTGTCCAGTGTCCTCAAAACTCAGATATTAACACCAGCACCCTCCATTGGGGTCTCCTGTTGAACATCAGCAGAAAAACCAGCAAGTCTTCCAGGACTTTGCCCACAGCCTCTGGTGTGACTCCTCTGTATAATCTCAGAAGTAAGCATAATGCTCACTGCCAGGAAACAGAGCCACAACTCAGGGGTCCCACATCGTCACTTTGCTGCTGCAAAGCAGCAGCTCAAACAGGCTGCAGCTGAGACAGGCAGATGCTGTGCTCAGGTACCACAGAGCCCTGCAGGGAGCAGGTGCAGATGAGACCCTCCTTGCCAGCTGTGTGCTGGGCCAGAGCCGGAGGGCTGAAAATCCTCCCGATCCTCCAGAGATGTGGGGATTTGTTAGGCAGCTCAGGGAACTCAGAGGGGAGGTGGGAGATGGGAGCCTAGATTTGGGCTCCTCTCTGGACCTAACAATAAAATTCTAGAAGCAAATGCTTCTGTGGGAAATTTGGACTGATGGGTCATTAAATGTGTCAGCAAATTCAGGGACAGTCTATTTGTATGTTAGCACAAAGAGCACAGTTAACTATCTTTTCTCCCCAATGGCCTCCAGTGTCAGAACACCTTGTCTCAGCCCAGATTCCTGAGAGTTCCCTTGCCCTAGCCTGCAGGAGTAGAGAATGGAGGAAGTGGTTAGCAAGCTGGGAGGGTTACCTGAGGCCCACCTCATTCTCCTTGGTGTTGACATGGGGCCCGGGCAGGAAGGATGGACTAAGTGGCCTTTGTCTCCTTCCCCAGCTATGAGACCACCTCTAGTGAGGAGACCAGTGGTGAGGACAGCTCCCCGGAGGACTTGTCTGACAGCGAGACTGAGAAGAAATGTGATGACCCAGAACACAGGCAAGGCAGGGCTGCCCACCCCAGCTGTGAGGCTGGACCAGGAGACCCCAAAGTCATTCACAACACAGGCCAGGAAAGTGGGCCTGGGGATGAAGCCTCCCATCCCAAGGCTGAGAGGTGAGTCTGATGAGTACAAGTGGGGCACCTGTTCCTCTGAAGAGGGGCAAAGATGGATACTCATCCTTTGATCCATTGGTTGTTCATGTGTTCATTCATTTATCTGTGCATTCAGCAATACGTATTGAGTTTCTGTTCTATGTCAGGCCCTGTGCCCCGGTTAAACTAAATAGACGAGGCTTCTATGTCTATAGAGTCATGGTCAGAGCTCTACAGATAAAGCCAATATTATGTAACACCAGAAACGTGATGCACTTTACAAGGATTGCTTTGTGACAGGGTCTCGCTCTAGTCCAAGCTGGCCTTGAACTTGTGCTTCTCTGGTCTCAGCTTCCTGCGTAGTGGGATTATAAGTGTGTGCTACCACATCTGGTTACAAGTATTGTTTTATATAATCCTTTTAACAATCCTGCAAGGCAGAAAATACTGTAATCCCCACTTCACAGATGTTGAAACAGAAGCCTAAAGAAGTGAAGTAATGGTGCAGCTAGCAGAGCAAGGGTTTGGACCCAGGTCCCTTTCATTCTAACCCACAAACATTTCTGCTTCTTCCACTGGCCACACTGCCATAGCCCTGTAATGGAAGGTCATGCAGTATGATGAAAAGAGTAGCACCTTTGTCTTCGGACACACCTTGATTGGCAAAATCCTTAAGCTGTGGTCGCCTCGGTTTCCTCATCTGGAACATGTGGACAGTAGGGGGCTGTTAGGTTCAATCCAAGGACTTCATGAGAATAGGAGTGAAGCCCCTAGCACTGTGTCTGCCGCAGAGTAGGCGCCAGGTAAAAGTATAAGGAGACAGGTCAGAAGCACTGTCATCACCATCACCATCCCCAGCCTGGTTGGGAATGGGGAGGAACACATCCAGAGGGCTGCTCCATCATGGCAGCTGATAAATGGTGATGAGCAAGTTTGCCTCTTAGTGGTGGTGCCATCAAGACCTGCCAAGGCATCTAGGTGCCCTCACATGAACACAGAAGAGCGCTTGTCACTGAGAACTGACACCCCAACTTCAGTATTTCTCACTTTGTGGACTCTGTTAGTGTTTATGCTGCCCTTCACTGGAAAAATAACATAAAAAACTTTGCTGTTTTCCATTGAGTTCTTTGTATTTTTCTAGTCACTGGGCAGAAAATATTTCACCCAAAGTCAGAAAGACAATCCTCCCCAGCATGGCGGAATGTGCTGTTTGGCCCCTGGTCCCAAGTGTGGTCTATCTGTTCCAGTCCTTGACCCTCTAAAAGGCAACAGGCCCTTCAGAAGAGTTCAGAAGCCAAACCACATCATCAGGAATGTCCCTTATCCTGGGGGGGTACTCACCCAATTTGGTTGTTTGAGATGTTGGGAAGCAAAAAAGGAAAGTGAAAGTCTTTTTGGTGGGTTTTTTTTTTTTTTTGTCACATGGAGAATGATTCTGTATTTGTGTTTGGTTCCTTTAGATACAGACCCTCAGAAGAATTTCTTCATGCATGTCAGGAATTGAGCCAACGTCTCCCTGAAACTGGGGCCACCACCGACCAGCTCTTGGTACTCTGACTTTTCATTGTCACATACAGATTTCCATCAGGGCGACTTTGTTCTCTTGCCAGAGGTAGCAGTATGAGGGCACACAGGAGTCCCTGTCTTTTGGGTGTTCTGTCATTTATCCAAATGCTGCCACCTAAGGTGATGGATTGTGCTCAGGAAGTAGAAGAGTCAGTATGCCCAGGAAAGCAGCATTTGGAGCATTTACCAAAAGCTGTCCCAGCCTGAGTATCTGTCATCAAACTCTGTTGGTGGCTTAGGCTCAAGAGTGCCCTGCGGTTGGGAGAGGGAAGAGCACATGGAATGGAGTCTGGGAATTCTCCTCCCAGGACCTCTTCTGCAGGATATAGGGCCAATCAGCTCAGTGCTCAGGGCCTACTTTCCTCACCAATAAAATGGTGGTGGGCTGCATCACCCTCAATCCCTGACACTGAATTCCAGAGCCATTACTGCTTTTCTTAAAAAGTATTGATGGGCCATGAGATCAAACACAAGAAAATGTATCCACTTGCTCCATCCCAACCATCATGGTCCATGGAGATTTAAACCTGTAACAATTGGGGGCACGCTTCCCCACGTCATTAGAGAACTTTCAGACCCAAAGTGGAACAACCTGTAAGCACTTTTAAAACCTGATATGCTTCCTTTGCTGAAGAGCCCTATGAGAAAGAACGATCAATTCAGCAGTGTTTTGTCGTTTTATCTTAGCTGATTAGGCAAATAGCAGTTCCCAGACTGTGAAAGAACCAATATTTGAGGTGGAGGGGTTGATCAAGACTCCTGTTACTTTCTCTTAAACAAGTTACAGAACTAAGTCTGCTTAGCTCTTCATTTATAATCTACTACTAGGGGCCTTTTCTTATTGGCATATTTCTCCAGATTTTCTTGATGGCTCTACAGATAAAGGAGATATTCTGGTATAAAAAAAAAGTGTTCCAGCCACAAATGATTCCACTGTTTTTGCCCTGGAAAATTAATCAGAGGCTGACACCCCACCCATGTTAGGATCGAAGTACAGAATGCACTGCCACTTCTCCCATCTGGCCCTCCCTGAGAGACAAAGCACATTGTACAAGGACCCCACTGTGTAGAGCCGTGGAAATAAGGGTGCCAGACCCATTGTGTAATAGGGACAAATAAGATTCAAAAAGGGTATGTGGCCAGGTGTGTGGCTTACATCTGTAATCCCAGCATTTAGGAGGATGAGGCAGGAGGATCATGAGTTCAAGGTCTCACTACATAATGAGATCTGTCCCCCAAAAAAAAAACCAGAAAGAAAGCCAAGGGCTGGGGCTATAGTTTAGGGGTAGAATGCTTGCTTGAGACCCTGGATTGAATTCCAAGAGCCACAAAAAGAGTATATGACTTCCAAGATCACACAGCTCTACCAGGGCTTTGACCTGGCCACATGGATTTAGTGACACTAAATCCACTACGTTTTCCACAATGAGCACAAAATCATTTATCATAACCACTTCCCAATAGCTTCTCCTCCCCATTAGGTAAATATCTAAATGTGTCATCTTAACAAGTATAAAAACGATCCCTGAAAGTAGAGTCTTTAAACGTGTGTGATCTTAAACACTTGGACCATGTCACACACACAGTTGATGCTATCATCTGTTATGCTCTTCTGTATGGCTCAAAAGTTGACGAATCCTACAAACAGCAGGGTCCTGCCCTGGAATTATTAAACCTTCTACACTGAAAACTCAACAAAGTTTAAAGCCAAAAATAAGCTGAACACGCCCATTTGGTTTTAGGGCTGGTGTAAGTTAGTGTGTTGTTTGTATTAGATGTCAGCAAGCATTTTTCCTAACTTTGCAGCATTTGAGCTTCCTGCTATGCCTGGTAAAAGCAGGTGAGAATCCTGGCACAGTTTGGCACAGATACGTATAGGCTGGCAGTGTGCATGTGAGAGAGGGGCTTAGTAATCGTGTGCACACAGGATGCCATCTAAACTTACAAAGATCAATCTGTCACCTGGTAGAGGACTCTGACCTGACTGTTGCATTGCTGTCCTAGTATCCCTTGCATGGAGTGTCATTCACACAGGTACAAAGTGTGACACTGCATTCCCAGCCTTGCTATCTCTGAGTCCCCAGGTAAATTACAAGGAGAACTGCAGGGAGGTGAAGGGGGAGAGGCAGAAGCATCCAGAGTCAACTTGTCCTGGTGGGAGGTGGGAGCCCTAGCTGGCCATCCCAGACCAGGGAACTTCTTGGAATTGGAATCTTTTGGGGTTTCAGAGGCAAAGCTTGAACACCATCAGTCAAGAGTGGTTCCGTGTGTCCAGCCGGAAGTCATCTAGCCCTGCTGTGGTGGCCGCCTACCTCCTCGGGTCCAGCCTCACTCCCCACATCTCCTGAGGCTGCTTGTCAACTTGGCTGACCGCAGCGGGAACACGGCTCTGCTCTACAGCGTGTCCTACTCCAACTTTGCCATCGTGAAGCTGCTGCTGGACACAGGTCGGAAAGGGTTCGTTGCAGTCTGGGTCTCTCCTTGAAGGGCTACTCTTTTTATTTTTAAAGAGATGAGTCTCGCTTTTGTTCCCCGTGGCTCTGAACTCCTTGACTCAAGTGAACGTCCTGCCTCAGCCTCCTGAACAGCTGGGGATTCCCGTAGGATCTATTTTCCTTCTTTCCAGCAAGCAAACGCTTCATCATTCAGACCTCCTCCTGTATTCCAAGAACTGAGCTAGACCATTTACCTGTATTATTTATTCTTCAGAACACTCCTGTGATGTGAGTGCTGTTATTCTCATATTGCAGTTGAAGAAACTGAGGTCCAGAGAGTTACAGAACTTGCTGAATGGAGCAGATTTTGTATTTGGTCTAACTCCAGAGCTGTACCACACGGTCTTAGGAAAGGCCACCTTCTGATGTTTTGTAACAAAGGCCATGGCTCCATTTGACCAATTTGACTCTTTCATTCATCATCAGATATTTACTGACTGCATAAAAGATCTGTACTGGCTGTGACCAGAGAGGCAAAGGTGTGCCAGATGTGAGTCCTCTGCCTACCAGAAGCTTACAGCCTAACCCAGAGTGGAGCAGGATTCTGGCTCAGAAGAGAGAGAAGCAGAGTGAGATTCAGAGATGCAGAAGGAGTAAGATCATGTCCAGTTTAGGAAGCAGGACAGGGGCCCTGGAGCAGGTAGAGAAATGTCCCATGTGAGGAGGACAGCATGGAGGAGGAGGAGGGAAAAGATGCCTAGAGACCAGAGGCTTCTGGTTTGGAGGGGAGGGGAGTGAAAGTTGAAAAGGTGAGTTAGAGTCACAACACGGAGGACGTTGGATGCCAGACTGGCATAGCTTGAGCGCTGTTTGGAAGGTGCTGGGAAGCCAGTGCAGGCTTTTGTGTAGAGAGCACCACCACCAGGAAGTTATCTAAGAAGTGCAATTTGGTGCTAGAACTAGGCTAGTAGAGGAAGCAGGGAAGGAGTTGGCAGGCCAGACAGAAGTGTCTAGCAGTGGTCCACAGAGAGGTAGTGAGAACTTAGAATAGGTGAGGATGGCAAGAATAGAAGAGAAAAAAGAAAACAAAAAAACTGGAGGGTCAGTGACCAGCTGGCTGTGAGGGGAGAAGGGGTGTTGGAACTCTCTGTTGAGCTTGGATGGCTGAGAAGATGGTGGTGCTACAAAAGGGGAAGGAGCAAGAGTGGGGAAGGTGGAAAAGACCATTCAGTTTGGGGAGGATTCTAAGTTTCCAGTGGGTCATTCAGGTGGAAATGTCTGGAAGGCTAGTGACAAATTCAGATCCCAAATCAGCAGGCAATAGAGCCTCGGGAGCAGCCTGCAAAGCATAAGGAGTCCTCTTGGGGGAGGGCTGGCATCCAGAAGTGTGGAAGATCTGTAACCTTTTCAAGCTGCTGGAGGCGGGAGTTTAAATGCACTTAGAAAGTCTGAACTCAAGACCCAGTTGCTTCCCCCCATTTCAGTTCTTGTCAGTTGGCTTAAATCCCTCCCACAGCTTCCACAGGCTGCTCTGGTTTCTGCCTGTCTTTATTGTCTCTGCTGCCACCACATTCTCCTCCTTCAACTATGCTGGGCTCAGATTCACCCACCATTCTGGTGACAGTGATATCACCTAGCACTTATTGAGTGTTTACTATGTGCTAGGCACTGTTCTAAGTGATTTAATGATATTAACTCTGTAAGTTTCATAATAATCCTACAAGGTAAATTCTGTTACCTCTTTTTACAGAGGAGGAAATGATAAGAAATGCTGTCTTGATCTAATAAGATAGATTTATTATTGCCCAAAAAGGCCACATAGGTTTTTCTGGTGAGCAACAACCAAGGATGATTTGGGTTTGCACACTGTACTGTCCTGGAGCAGAGGGCTCATTATTAACAGACGTCATCTGTGTGGGACAACCCCTACCTTTCCTTTGGCATGGAGCAATAGTAATGCACATTCCGTAGGCTACAGAGCAAGAATTTGTTTTAAATTCTCACTTACTGCCCATCTTACAAATATGCCTGTTTTTTATTCTACTGTGAAAGATAAATTCTTAGTTGTTTTGCTTCATTTTATTTTTAATTTTCTAAAGTTGTGCCTGCTTTTTGTTTTGTTTTCTTTGTTGTGTTGAGACAAGATTTCACTATGTAGTCAAGGAAGGCCACAAACTCTCATTCCTCCTACCTCAACCTGCTGGATGCTGGGATTACAGAAGGGTACCACCATGCCCAGTTTTTAATTGTCTTAGTGTAAGAATTGGGGAGTTTTTTCCTCTCTGTTTTTCAAGTGAGATGCTTGTTCCTGCAAGACTTCCCATGTTTGTCATGTGACATTTCCCATGCCTCTGGTACACTGCACAGCAGATCAGTAGTCCCTGGGAAAGGACCTACAAACATACCCATCAGATTGAGTTACATGCAAACATGAGCGAATGCACAGCTGTGGGTGGCATGTGACTAGATGAAGGATGGGTTCCAGAGTCCTCGTGTGGCTTCACCTTCATGTGGATAGTGTAACTCCTCTGACCTTCTGTGTCATCTTAAAAAATGGGAATTATGTGTTGTGCTCAGGTTTAGGTAATAAAGCCATGGACATTGGCCTCTTTGACTATTTCTGGTCTTACGCTTGCTAGGTATCCTCAAAAAGCTTATAAAGAAAAGTAGCCAGATTTAGCTGGCAGAGTGGCTCAAGTGGTAGAGCACTTACCTAGCCAAGCACAAGTTCAAGCCCCTATACCACCACCACCAAAAAAAAAAAAATTGGTTCCAGAAAAGTAGCCAGGTTTAAAGTCTGCTGAAAGTTGTAGTGTTCTGCCACTGAGGAAAGAATGCTCTCTTCCATGGCCTTTTAACCAGCTGTTGAAGAAGTGGATCTGGCTCTGGCCCTCCATCCCAGCACCCATGCTCCTTTTGCAGGTGTCTGTAACGTGGACCATCAGAACAAAGCTGGCTATACTGCTGTGATGATCACTCCCTTGGCTTCTGCAGAGACAGATGAAGACATGGCTGTTGTCCGGAAGCTCTTAAGAGAAGGAAATGTGAACATCCAAGCTACTCAGGTAGGTGGTGTGAACATGAACTCTCTCCTCTTTCATAAACATAGGGTGTCTCTCAGTTTTATCCTGCCAGTGGAGTGAGAAAATCCATGCAGATCTATGGAGTGTTTTTCACCCCAGAAGGCTGGGGCCTCCAAATGGCACTCATCCAAAGCCTGAATATGTTGTCTTCTTTAAAGCTCCGGGGATTGAGTCAGGGTTTAATTTAGCCACAGTGTAAATCTGGGCCAACTCTGCTTGGACTTATTTGACTTCTCCAACCAAACAGTACGAGAGTTAGCCTCTTGAGAAAGCCAATGGGGCCTACCCAAGGCAGATAGTTAGCTATTCTAGTAAAGCCCGTTGTATGGGTCACCTTGATCTTGACCCATAGACATCTAACCTGGCAGGATGCTCTTTGGAGATCCAGTCCCTCAAAGAAGTTCTCAGCTGCCATCCCCTCTCTCTCCAAGGGCTTCTAATAAAGCCATGAGTCTGTCTATCAGGCGAATGGAGAGAAAGTGTGGATAGCCAGGGCAGACAGGACCTGTCGCTGATCGAGAGGTATGAAGAGCACACTTCCCAGGCCTCAGCTTGGCTCAGAGTCATTGAGTTTGAATGGCAATTGGTTAGTCTGCCCAGCGTGCCTCCTCAGTCCTTAAAGTGACTGGATCTCAAAACACTTCCGTCTTCCTTACCTCCCTACCAACCAGTGTGAGTGACATTGTTCCAGGCACAGAAATCATGTCCCAGTCATCAGAAGCAGTGCCATGGGCCAGTCCAAGAAGAGCGGTGGCTTCCAAGAGCCAGTGGGGCCCTACTCAAAGGTAGTAGCCAGGAAATCAGGCCATTGGGCCCACTAATTCACTGAGTCCCCTTGTGCCTTAGGTCTAGAAGCCCTTAAAGGTTACCTAGGTCTACCCCCTAGGTAACCTTTTATAAAGTTCCAGATGGTCCCCAGCTTCCTTATAGTGATCTCCAGCCCTATGACCTCCAGTGTCAGGAACCACGTGCTCTTCCGAAGTAGCCCATTTGTTATTCTGGACAGCTCTGGTAACTTTTAAATGGAGCCAAAATGAGACACTCTGAACTTTTCATAGGATGATTAGGTAGAAGTTGGTTGGGGTTCACACCAAGAGAGATCTTGCAAACAGCAAAGGTATGAAAGGCAATCAGAGGTTTGGAGTGTCTATCTACATTCAGCTTCTGAGGACCTGTACTTAAGAACTCAGGGCAGGGATGGGGACCTTACTCAGTCGGGCTTTGAGTTAGACAAGGCTCCATATGGAACAATGATCACTGCCCATCTTTGACCACACAGGCCTTCCCTTCACCCAATATTGGTATAACTGTCAAAAACTGTGAGGAGCCAGAGACCTTACCCTTGAAAGCTAACAAGTTAGTGTGCCAAGGTGTCATGGATGCTGGCTGAAGACATGAGACCTCTGTGCCAGAGACAAAGGACAACACACAATCCACAGTAGTCACAGCATGGAATCAGCATTGCCCAATTGCTAGTTCCCCAAGGGCAGTGTGAGGGGCCTACCTGAGCTGTGTTGCCTTTCCATTACTGTAACAAGTACTTGAGATAAATCAACTTATAAAGAAGGTAGGTTGGGGATGTAGCTCAGTGGCAGAGCACTTGATTAGTATGCTTGAGGCTGTGGGTTCAATTCTCAGAACCAGGAGAAAAAAAAAAGAAAGAACTCATGATCATCTCATGACAGCCAGGAAAAAAGAGAGAGAGAGAATAAAGCTATAGCGTCCTAATGTACCCTTTGAAGGCATGCCCTTGTAAACTCACTTCCCCCTACTAGTCCCTACCTGTTAAAGGTTCCTCCACCTACCAATAGTGCCACAGGCTGGCAAACAAGCCTTTAACCTGTGGGCTTTGGGAGGACACTTATCCAAACCATCACAGTTGCATCACAGGAGAGGAACACTGAGCTTAGGGAACCTGAATTTTTAACAATGGGAAGTAAACAAGCCTGATCTTGTCTCTGAAGGAGACACTATCTCCACCTTCCAAGGCTGTTCACTGTACAGGTGTCTTTGAAAAGATGATTTAGAACAAAAAGGTAGATAGTACCTTGCAGAAAGGCAAGGAACGCCATGGAAAATGGACTCCCAACAGCATACTTAACTTAGCTCTTCCATACTCCCCAAAGTGACTACAGGCTGCCTGGCCTGATAGCAGTCACCTTGTGCACCTCATCTGATCGCATCCTGCTGATGGCTACACACAGGTATCTCTACACCACTTTCTTGTTTTCAAAGTATTTTCACCCACCTACAACTCCCGTTCCAGAAGACTCCATAAAACTATTATCATTTTAAACATGCTGATTAATTTTCTAAGTTAGACTCTCATAAAAGGGGATACTCACCAGTGATCAAAGTCAGCCCCTTCTTTTTCCAGAGGAGAACCTGATTTGTAGGAGGGCCACAGTTCACAAAAGGAAGGGTGTGACTTAATGCTTGCAGCTGTGCCCCTGGGCCTCAAACTGTGAGGAGAGGTGGAGGGGCCAGGTTAACCGGGAGTGAGATGGGAGCCTCCTAGGGATGTGCTACGTCCTGTCCTTGTCTTTGCAGTTCCAGAGTCAGTGCATAATAGTACTTGGTGAGTGACCACTGAATTAAATTGTATTTAACTGGACCAGGAAGAAGGGCCCTGAGTTAGGCAGAAGAGCAGACAGGAGAGCAATCTGCATGTCACCTGGCTTTAAAAACATCTGGGGGAGTTTCAGGCTTCTGAAGACCTCACAATGCAGGGGGATGGCAGGGCTCTCTCTCTGCCCCAGGACTCCTGTCTATTTGGGATTACCACCAAAGTGCCAACTTTGGAGAGGGAGTAGGGGCCTCTGACTCACCCCTCTGATTCCAGAACCCCTACCCTGAACAACACACTCAGAGTCTCAAGTGCCATCCTTTGCCACATGCTCCAACCATAATGTTTTGCCTTGCCACAGACCCAAAAGCAACAGGTCACCTGACTTTGAAATGAAACCTCCAAAACTGTAGGCAAAATAAACCTTTCTTCATAGGAGAAAAAAACAGTTGGGAAGAGGTATCTGGTTAGTTTAGTAAACAACCATTATCTCTGGATTGAATAAAAGGACATAAAAAGGAAAACCATCTTTTCTGGAAATATCTGTCTGAGTTCTAGAGAATTGGGTCCTAGGATATCTAATAATTCACTCACATACTGAGCATCTGTCATATGCTGTCTATGATCCTTGTAATGATAGCAACTAATACTTAGTAGCACTTGCTGAGTACCTGGGTCTCACCACACCCCATTGATCGATCACGTCTATCCTCCCAAATCAGGAACAGGTACAGAGAGGTTAGCTTATACACATCCATATTGACATAAGTGGCAGAGCCAGGATTCTTCTGATGCCAAACCCCCTTTCTTTTTTCTAAACTCTAGGGTGCTGGGCACAGAAATACGGCCCATAGGTGAGTCAGACTATAGTTTTAACAAGCCAAACACCAGCAAATATGTCCTCAGAGCTTTTTACATGTAAGACACTCTGTTCAGAGCCATGGGGGATCTGAAAGGAGAGAAAGTATAGTCCTTGCCTCGTACTTGGAGCCTGGTGTTCCATCAGAGAGACAAATATGATCTGCCTGGAACCCAGGAAAACTAAGAGGACAAAATATAATAAAGCCACATGAAAAGACTATAGGGAAATATAGGAATATATAGTACATATTAGAAAATCTACGGGAAATAAGAAATGATAGTTTGTAATCAGAAAAATCACTACTACATGTTGGTATATTTATATCTTTTATCTACTTTGATAGTCCTCTGAGGTACATAGGACAGATTGATATTATATTCATTCTTAAGCAAAGCAAAACCAAGATTCAGGAAAGGGAAGTAATGTGGCTAGGGTAAACAGCAGAACTAGCACTTGAACTGGCTCTCTGACTCTAAACCATTGCTACATCCATCAGTGACCCCAGGGATGAAAAACATTATTGCCAATGGCTACAGGTTAGAGGTGACTACAGGGACATATAGACAGAAAGGTGGTTGAGACAAGAGGGCTCTGGGTATCATACCAGAGGTGTAAGCAGACCAAGGCTTTTTGGCGAACACTGGGTTAGGGAGGCAGTGAGAAGGCGTGGTGCTGAAGCCCCCCACTTCATCTGCTCCATCAACATACCAGCGCACACTGGGTGCTAGGCACTGGGGAGAGGAGACAAAAGAGCCCCTGATGTCAACCGCCAGCCCCTGAGAGAGACTAATAAGTTGCAGTACAAGTGGTAAGTGCCAGGGATGAATCCCATGCCTGGAAGTTAGGGAATGCCTTAGAGAGGATGTTGCATTTGGTTGGATCCTTGGCAGAGCAGAAGTTTGCCAGGCAGAGAAGGATATGTCCTGTATCAAGGACAGAGGGAAGTTCTGATCAAGTCATTTTCTTGAGCAGTCTTTGCTGAGCACACCGATGCTGGCAGCAACATCACCTCATCCCAGTGTCCCTATGTGCAGGGAGGCCAGACTGCGCTGATGCTGGGAGTCAGCCACGACCGGGAGGACATGGTCCAAGCGCTACTGAGCTGCCAGGCAGATGTCAACCTGCAGGACCAGGATGGATCCTCAGCCCTCATGCTGGCTTGTCACCGTGGCAACACTGATATGGTGCGGCTGCTGTTGGCACACCCTGCTTGCGACAGCAGCCTGACTGACAAGGTGAGACTTGTAAGCAATTAACAAATTGGTATTTAACTTCTGGTCCTGAAAAGTTATCTTGCATCCAGCAAAATTCAAGGAACCATACAACTGTAGCAGTAAAATCAACCTGATAAGGCAGTTGTGAGATTTAAATGAGATGGGTGTGTGGTAAATGCTTTGAGCCTTAGAGCTGAGAAACACAACACTGACCTTTTAGACCACCACTCTGGGGGGTGTGGGGACGTGCCCCCACCCTCATCTGGTCATGGCAAAAACAGCATGTGACTTTGAGGCAGCAGCTTGGACAGGGAGGCTCTGCTAGCTAGTGAAAATTCTGAACAGTCAGGGGAAGGAAAAAACTTTAGATCATCTCGGTAGTCATTACACCGAAGGTATCTTTCTGACATTGATTCACTTCATAGAGCAGCCTGTTCCACCAGGTCAGCTTACTTGCGGTAACTCCACCAGACATAGGCCTCTCGCATAAACATGTCTGGCAGCGATGATGGTGATAGCTGACTTAGTTCAAGGGCTTACTCATGCCAGCCAGGTTCTGTACCAAGCATTACCATAGACCACCCCACGTGTGGAACCCAGCCCCATCAAACTCCTAAGCCCATGCTCTTATCTGTCCCATCATCCTCACTGCTGTAACATTGAAGCAGCCATTTTTCTGGCTCCCTGCTGAACCCCCCCCCACACACACACACACATAGAAGAGTGCATGCCCCAAGTCAGTGAATGAACCAGCCATGGAGTGAATGAACTTCAAAACTGCAGAGGCCGGTCATCAGTCAGTGGTCCTGTTGCTGATCATACAGCGGGTGACATTTCTAGAGCACTCATGGGAATTAAACCATGTCTGTACATTGTCAATATTCCTCCCAATAACCCGGCAAGTAGTTACTGTGACCCTCTTTATGCCATAGATGCTGCTAGCATCTATTGGGAAGAAACCAGGGATGCTGCCTAGCATCTACAGTGCACAGGGACAGAAAGAATTAAGAATTATCTGGCCTAAAGTGTCAGTAGTGCCATGGTTGAGAAACCAGGCTGAGGTGAGTACTGAAAACCAAGCGGGTTGAGACAGTCAGTTAGCCAGCCAAGTGTTGGGTCAGGAAGAGCCAGGAAGGCACTGAGGAGCAGGCCAGCTGCTGGGCAGGGCAGCGCAGGGCTCGAATCTTGGAAGAGAGGGACTGGAGTGCCCAGCAGGTTACAGAGGTGGGAATCTGTCCTAGCGGGAAGGTACAGCACTCTAGGAAATCAGCCAGTACAATGCCCAGCAGTGGCACAGCCATGGGCACAGCAGACCCACAGGAAGGCAATTCTGGATCCAGAGATCCAGTGTATCCAGAGATACACTGCCTGCCTAGGTCTGCTTGACTCAGGGTTCACACCCATATGTCCCTAGCCTAGGGTGAGAAACTTCGGGGGGAGAAGGAGACTGTTGATAGGGCTTGTACCTGGCGCTCTCCATCTGTGGGAGGGTCCACCTGATCCTAGCACCATGTCATGCCAGCAGCATCTTTCTGTGGCAGTGCAGATGTCCACAGCAGGGACTTCCTAGGAATTCCTTCAGATGACTGAGAGAGAAATCATGTCCTGGAATTGTTTCTCCTCATCAACAAGGTTGGATATAAATGCAGAACTCCAGGCACTTTCTCTAGGTTTAGAAGGTGATCAGGGAAATCACTACCCTGTCTCTGGGGACCTGCAGAGGGATGAGGATGGGGCTGTAGGGAGGCCTGAGCACCCACTGGAGGGTTGCCTCAGGAAGGGCTCATTAGGCAGCTGCTTCAAAGTATCTAGCAAATTGAAAACTTTTAAGATGGAGATTATACCCTGCCTGATATAGTGGACTTATGATTTGAGTTCTTGTCACACTGAAAGACACCGCCATTCCAACACAGATGCATGAGTGCACACACACACACACTTTCCTCTCTCTCTCTCTGACTGCCCAGTCCATCTCTTCAGATCAGAGTCAATGACATCCTTATCCAGCCTGCAACCATGCTGGGCAGGGCTCACCACAGCTGGCTGTACTACAGCCCCATGCCATGGGCTCCTTCCTTCCAGGGCTTTCTCTCTCAGAAGCATTTGAGGGACTCTTACCCTCTCTAGGTGGTCTCTCTGACCCACTTCCCCTGCTCTCCCTGTCTGCAGTTAGCAGCCCACAGATGGAGGCTGTCATGTCCAGATGGGCCCTGTTAGATGATGTGTGCCCCTGGGACTGGTCCTGTGGCTCTTTCCCATGATGATAGCAATTGCACACTCTTCATGTTTACATGAAACCTCTGGCATGACAGAGCCCAGCATGATGAAGCATATGGAGCAGACACAAACTTAAATAAACCCAGGCCCCTCCCCCAGGCGCCCTGCAGGATTCTGCTTTGTTCCAGTCTTGCCCAGTCTAAGAAAATACTGTAGGATTTAGCTGCTGGGGTTCTTCATCAACTCGAGCAAGTACTTACCTCCAACAGTTCCTCTTTTAACAGTGCTTACCTATGCCAGGCAAGGGACCAGGAGCCAGGAGGTGGCAGTGAGCAGGCCAGATGGAGTTCCCGACCTCATGGAGAGTGAGATTTATTGAACAATCCCACAAATAGAAGGGGTGGTAAAAGAAAAGTCCAGAGAGGGATTCACAGTGAATTCAAGGCCAGACTGAAATACATAACGAAACCTGTCTTTAAAAAACTGAAGAAGAAAGAAAAGAAAAAAGAAGAGAAGAGGAGAGGAGAGGGAAAAGGAGATGGAGAGGAGAGGAGGAGAGGAAGAAGGGAATGGGAAGGGAGGGGAGAGGAGAGAAATAATGAAGAGGTCCAGGGAGTCTTGAGGCCATTTTGGGGAAAGAACTTTGTATGTTTTGTGAAACCCCCATGCCATCCTTTGGGTCCCCCTGAAACACCACTTCCTTCCTTTGCCTTTCCTGAGCCCACCACCCTTGCACTGCCCCCTGCCAGTGGCTTCCCTGTCCCTTGAGCTCCTCTGCAACTCTCTCCCCTCCTTCAGCTTTTTATCACACATATGATTATTTGCATACTTGTGGAGCCCCTGTGACCAGCTGGATTCCATCCTGGTTCCAAGGGAAAAGCCAAGAATCTGAAGCTGGGTGTTAACACTTCCCACCTCTTCTATGGAAGAGTTTTCCCATTTGAGGGATCATTTTGTGCATATACAGTAGAGAACAGCAGTAGGGGCTGGAGTGCCTCAACCCACCAAACCCATTCCTGGTTCTGCAGCAAATGTAAAAATAGTCACATAGGATTGTAAATAGCCTCAGGTCAAGTTTTACCTCCAAGTAAGACACCAAAAAAAAAAAAAGAAAAAGTGTGTTTTTCAGATGTGTTTAGGCTTCAGAATTCTGGATACAGGATCAGTCCACTCATAGGGACTGGCTGTTCACATGGAGCTGAGCATCCATCAAAACCCAGCCATGTCAGCCTTTCCCTCCATCCCTCTGTAGCCAGCATTGCCTGATGAGAACCCCACTAGTGCAGCATCTTTATGCAGCAGGACCAGCAGCTCCCTGCACAGATGTCAGGGTGGTGGGGACAGCAAGGCATCATGCAGCAGGAGGTGTAAACATGTGTGTCCAGTCATACTGTGAGCCCACGTCCGAGAGAGTCCATCTGTCAGTCCTTAGGAAATAATTAAAGATAATAAAATATTTCTTGCACTAAGATATGGAAACAGCATAAGTCTCCAGTAGGAGGGAACTGGTTAGAACATTATGGGATATTTTAACAGCCACAAGAAAACCCAAGCGTTATGAAGACAGTATGTACTAGACAGTCTCCCAGCATCCCATGGTAAGTAAAAGTAAAAGCAGATTCAAGATTAATGTGTGTTTTCTTCCTCGGTTTTAAAACCAATAAATTTAGAAAAGACTGGAGAAAAACACAAAATGCCAGTTTTCACTTTTTCTTTTCTTTTTTTTTTTTTTGAGACAGGATTTCACCATGTAGCCCATGCTGGCCTCGAACTCTGGATCCCCCTTCCTTGGCTTCTCAAGTGCTGGAATTAAAGGTGTAATTTAAGCATTAAAAGCTGAGTGACCCTTCTTTGTTTCCACTGACACACATTTCCCAGGAGTGACTGCTCTTTCCAAGGAAGGGGGCCCCCATTCTTGTGGTCCCCATTCTCATTAGCTTCATGCTTTTTGAATGGCTTTCCTTCCTTGGTCTCTGCAGGCTTGTGCCTGGTAGATAAGATGAAGTTTACTTCTCCTTTTCTTTCTCCCCTGCAGGCTGGCCACACAGCTTTGTCCATCGTGCTGAAGTCACCCACCCATGTGGAAATTGCAGAGCTTCTGAGAGCCCACTCAGAACGGGGCAGGTCCCTGGGGCTGTAGGAGCTGCAGGAGAACTGGCAGCCAGGAACAAAAGGCTCCTTCTCTGGACTCCGCCCTTGTCCTTGGAGAGGGCAGGGGTCAGAGCCAGAGGGCTGCCTCTCAAGAGAAGAAACTATTTCAAATATGCACATACATTCCTGTTGTGTAATTCTGCTCATTAGGATGCTTTGTAGTTTTTGCCTTAGGTCAAGCCCCAAAACTACACTGGACTTCAGAGCAGGGAGCAAGGCGCAGAGTGCTGGGTACACTGGTGTCATCCAAAAATCCAAAACATCTTCAGCCTTGAATTCCTGGTGACTACCTTTGCAGCACCGTGTAGCCAGCAGGCAGGCAGCAGCACACCCGCATGTTAGAAAAGCAATACTTTTTACATGGCCTTTTTGTTTTTAATCAAGTATATCCAAATATATCCATTGGATATGCATGTCTAGAGAAGATGGGAGAGGACTTCAGCTGCCACCCTGGTGATCCTTCTCAAGAAGTCCCTAGGGAATACACGGTGAAGACAGGTGACACTGATCAAGTTCCATTTGGACACTTAGTTTAGATGGGGTGACAGAATAATCTTCAATTCTAACAGGACGGGAAGAAACACATTAAAGCCAATGCCACGTGTACAGTCTCGAACACTGCTGGGTCACCCAGTGGCTCTGGTTGCTCTGTGGAAAATAGAATTAATCAGGAAATCCAGTCCAATGACACACACCACGCATACATATTTAGGCAGAGTCCAGTTACATCAGCTATTCTTAACCTGTGACAGAAGGGACTGAGTCGGAGCACACTTCATTTTGGGGATGACATCCTCTAGAAGCTACCACCTCTCCTCCATAGCCTCATGATAATCCCCAGTACCCTCCATAGGACTCTAAAGAGTCCCAGGCTTCTGGCTGCACAGTGGGCCCTCCAGCCTGGGCTATAGCCAGGCTGGTCAGGGCAGGGTCCTCCCTGGACTGACATCTGGCTCCTCTGAATAATTCTTCCTCAGTTTCCATAATCCAGGGTTCATGTTCAAAGCTCACACAAGATGATCTGTGAATGTGTTCTAAAGTCTTTTGTGCAAAAAATAAAAATAAAACCCTTAAATAGAAAAGAAAGACGTCACTGAAAACTCAAAAGCATGAGTTCTTATTTGGACTGGAATGCCAGTTTGCTTGGCGGCCCTTGAGTGAGTCACAAAGCTTGGGCGTCAGTTTCATCATCTCTGACAGCAGAAATGATCCTACAACCTACCTCCTGGGGGTGCTGAGCAAGAAACTGCTGATGGGAGTTCAGGAATCCAGTTTATAACTCATAAAGGCTGTCTTCAGTAATGGTACAACAAACTTCTTTACACTGTTGTGACTCATAAGAAACATCACACAGTCCCAGGGCGGGAACACTGACGTCTCGGTGCTGCTCAGAAATGAAGAGAATGGAGCACACGATGAGCTAAAAAAAAAAAATTTTTTAAATGCAAAGTGGATTTATTTCCACCTCAACTCTATTGTAAAAGCAAGAAAAGCTTCACCTTAATTCGTGTTCTAGACCAGTGCTTTGCAAACATTAACGTGACACAATCCTCTGGGATCCTGTTGCACACAGTAAGCCTAGGGTGGCGCCCAAGATTCTGTATTTCTGACCAGTTCCCAGAGGATGCTGATGCTGTGGGGCCACAACCACACTTGGGGTAGCAAGGCCCTTGCCTGTCCTTAGTCTTTGTCTATTAAAATGCTGCCTCTTGGTCTTCTGTTTCAAAATGTCTTTGCATTTCTCTGTTCTTCATTCTTGGGAATTTGAATGGCAGGTCTGTATTAATTTGCTTTTTGTTGCTATAACAAAACACCTGAGGAAGGCTACTCATGAAGAAAAAGATGGTTGTTTAGCTCACAGTTAGGGGGGCTGAAAGTCCAATCAGCATTGTGCAGGGTCTGGTGAAGGCTGAATGACAATGGCAGGAGCACATCTGGGTACAGGAAGCTGGAGAGCTGGGTGGGGTCAGGCTCAGGATTTTATAACAGTCTCAGAACAACTAACCAGGATTCCATGAGAAATACCTTAATCTCGTTTGAGGGCATACCCCCATAACCTAAGGCCTCCAAGTAGGCCTCACCCCCTAAAAGTTCCACCCTACCTCCAAGGCTGAGACAGGGGAGGCAGTTTGAACTGTGCTTTGGAGACTGAGTCAGCCACACGGGGTCCGGTGGCATGTGAAAAGGGATGGCCTGTTAGACAGAATTTCAGATGACTCAGGTTCAGTTGTGTGGGAGAAGTGACAGGAAAGGAGATTTGAGAGGGAGGTAGGGAAATGTGTCCCACTTATAAGTTGATACTAGGAATTGGAACTTGAGGGGTCCGTCTCACAGACCCCTTAGAGAATCTGGGGTGCTCTTCAAAAAAATGCATATCTGTGCAAAGTTGGCTGACCTCAGGCATTTGGAATCTGAACCCCACCACTTAAAATCCTGCCCATTTGGGCAGCAGGAGCCACTGAAGAATTTTTAAACATGGGAGCCATCTGTTCAGATTTGTTCCTTAGCAGGGCAAGGCTGCTCTGGATTCTCCAAGGGGTGAGTGAGACGGACCTCTCATGTCTCAGGCTCAAGTACAAATTTCTAATAACAACATGCAAATGAGCTGGGCACCAGTGGCTCACGCCTGTAATCCTAGCTACTCAGGAGGCAGAGATCAGGAGGATCAAAGTTCAAAGTCAGCCTGGGCAAATAGTTCATGAGACCCCCATCTTGAAAAAATCCATCACAAAAAGGGCTGGCAGAGTAGCTCAAGATGTAGGACCTGAGTTCAACCCCCAGTACCACAAAACAAACAAACCAACAAAAGCATGCAAGTGAGACCTCCCTTTCAAATGTCCTCTTCTGCCACTTCTCGTACCCAACAGAAACTGAAGTGAGACACTGGATATAAAACAGTAAGAGCAGGGATAAAGATAGAGACCCTCAGGACATGCACCAAGAACGGAGGTATGCCTGGATGTGGTGACAAATTGAATGGTGGAGAGACATCAAAAATGAATGACGGGATAGCGCATGGTTCAAGTGATAGAGTTCCTGCCTAGCAAGTATAAGGCCCTGAGTTCAAACCCCAATACCATGAAAAGAAAAATGGATGACCTGAATGAATGGGGGTGCCATTGCCCCCAGTACCCATTCTCCCCTCCCTCCTTAACAGAATCACCAGTCTGTGACGGGGCACATGCCTCCCAGAATACAGCTGTCATTGCCCTTGCAGTTTTATGTGACCATGCAACTAAGTCCCAGCTAATCAGATGCAGGCAAAGCCGGCTGCGAAATGCCCTTGCAGTTGGAAAGGAAATGCATTTCCCCCTTCCCACTGGCTGCAATGTGCCAGTGATCAAGCTGGATTCGGGAGATTGCAACAGCAGGGGTCCCGTCATGCCTTTTCTCTGGACTGCTTAGTTCTAAGATTATGTCTTAAAAGACATAATCTTCTAACTTCAGCTAGTGTGTGTTGCATTGAAAAAAATGCACTTGGGACTTTGAGGGCCTAATACCATAGTTAGTGGATTTCGGGGTAGAAAAGCTTAGGAAAACCTTTCTGGAGAAGCATCATTTCATAGGCCGGTGTGATGGATGTGTCCTTATGAAACCAGCCCCATAGTGGAATCACCAAGGCTACAGCCCTGCAGAAATCACAGCATTGTGTCACCCTGGCCGAATCCCAGATACAGGCTCTGCACCCCAACCAGTCAGTCCTGAAACAGATCTTTGAAGCATCTTTGACATGTCCTGTGTAGCAATCTGGCCAAGATCAGTGAATTACCTGAGCAATCTGAATAGAAAAACAGATTTTCAGACAGTGACAGTGGGTTATCGTTGGGCGTGAGAAGTGAGTGAAGCCTCGAGGTGGAGAGGAGAGAGCTGGAATACTGGTGAATAGAAGTCAGACACATTGAAAGGAGAAGCAAGGGGCCGTGACGGAGAGAACAATGCTCCACCAGTCCTGCCTACCTGGGACCTCCCTTCCCAGCCCCACCCAGCATCACAGGACCATAGCTGTACGTGTCCCTGGCCCTTGAAGGACAGACACTAGATATGACCTGGGCCAATCAGACCATCTCCTGGGAACGCAGGAACTTAGACTTAGAAGTGTGCAAGCATTGGGTTTGGGGGGAGCATTTGTTTGGGGTTTGTTGCTGTTGCTTTTTTTGGTTTCTGGGTTCTTTTGCTGTTGGGAGTCTCTTTTTATTTTCTTTTATTTATTTATTATTTATTTTGAAGCAGGATCTCACCATGTAACCCAGGCTAGCCTCAAATTCACAATCCTCCTGCCTCAGCCTCCTGAATAATGATGTAGGCTGGGATTACAGGTGTGCACCACCATTCCCCATTGAGGCACTGGTTTTAAGGACTTTGTATAAAGTCATTTACTTCTTACAGTCACAGGTAAGCACTTCTGTTATCTATGTTTTACATATGAAGGTACTGAAGCATAGAGAGGTTGAGTAACTCATCCATGGCCATAGCCTAGGGACAGCACATCCAGATTTCAAGTAGACAGCTCAGACTCTGGAACTACACTCCATGTCATGCACTCAAATTCGTCTGTCCCAAGCTGGAGAAAGGGTGCCTGGTGTGTGGGGAGAGGGGGGCAAGGAGGCTCTGCTGTTTCAGGGACCCAATATTAAATCAGTCACTGACCCGCAAGTCCAGCTGGGTGACCCGAGGACAGAGGGGACAAAACAGGCAGAGTGTTCAAGACTGGAACAGTTGAGTGTCAGAATGTCCACAGGCTCAGCATTTCTGGGGAAGAAAGGGGCCTCTGTCCAGAGCACAGATGGGCCAAGCCCCACTATTCCCTGAGGAAGGAATTCCCTATAGCATAGTTCTAAGCCAATTCCTTACCCCATCCCCATCACAGAGTTGGGCCTGGCACCCAGGGAGCCCAGCCTGTGCTCCAGGGGGTCCCAGCTGACTTCCTCTCTGCCTCTCCTCATCCTGTCTCCACCCCACTTCCATGCTTGGACAAGGCCTGGCGTCTGGGCCAGCTGCGTGCTGTGTTCTCCAATTTAAGGCTGTAACTACTCGCAAGGCAACATGACAAGTCCCGCTCAGTGTCCCATCACATCTGTATTAGCTCTCACAAGGTTCAAGGCCACTACACCAGCAGGAATTGGAGCAGGGACTTACAGAGACCCACAATCCAGGTGCCCGCTGGCCCTTGGGCAGCTCTTCTGCCTCTTACACTTTTTTGTCTGTCCTTCCCTAGCCCTTTTCCATTCCATCCTCAGCGTATCAGCTCAATGACTTTCCTGACATGTCCCACACAAGCCACCACCATTCCACAGAGCTGCAGAGCTGTTCAAAGTGTCAGAGCCATGGCTCAGCAGCTCCATGTGGCCAGACAGAAATACAGAGTCCTGAGCCTGGGGTGGGCTCAGTGGTGTGGCATGTGCCTAGCATGCTTGAGGTCTTGGCTAGGATCCCCAGCAATAAATAAACAAATAAAACAAACCACAGCTTCCTCCACCCTAATGCAGCTGCCTTCCCAAGTTTCACAGGCATTCTTGAGTGCCTTAATATGCAAGAGGGATCTCAGACTGGAGACAGTGGTGTGTCTGGAAGTAAAATCTCCATTCAGACGGCCTGGCCACCTTGTTAAAACGCAGATCCTGATTCCCTAAGTCTGAGGGAGCCTGCGATTCTGCATTTCTAGGAAGTTCCCGAGGCTCCTGGACAGCACCCCCACTTTGGGAAGCCGGGGGAAGACACAGGCTGGAAATGGTGGTCCTGTCCGAGGAAGTGGCAGGAGGAAGGAAAGGTAGGAAATGTTTTACTGTATACCAACTGGAGCCTGGGGTATTTTTTAGCTCTGTGCATGTTACTTATTAAACAAAAATAAATATTTATTTTTTTCATCATATGGGGGTTGAAGCCCTGAGGCTTTGTGCTTGCTAGACAGGTGCTCTACCACTTGAGCCATGCACCAGCCCTAGATCAATAAAAAGTGTGAAGTTATTGAATTGTAGAATTGAGTTTAGCCTTCTAACTCCACCATCAAGGCCTTCATGGTCTGCACCTCCCTGATTCTGCAGTCTCAGTACCGTGCTGGTCTAGAACACAGCTGTGACTCCCCAAGCCACCTTTCCTCACCAGCACACCTTGTTCGCTCACCAGGGCTGTATGACGGAGAATGCGTCGTCTCCCAGCTCTGGAGGGAAGTTGAGATGGAGGTGTCAGAGGCTGTTGCTTCTGAGGGAGGATCTGCCCTATGCCTGTCCTCTAGCCCAGTGGGGAAAATCTTGTTCCTGATTACAGTTTAAGAAGCACCACTCCACATAATGTCGTACACAGTGAATTGCTTTCTGTCTGTTCAGAGGTCTCTCGTCCACACTAAACTCTGGAGGGAGAGCAGGCAGGGAGACTTTGTGGTTTTTCAGCTTTTAATTCCCATTACCTAGCTGCTGACCCCAAACGTAGCAGACAGGAATCAACTGCATTAACATGGAAGTCTAGGCTGGATAATTACGGCTACATAAACCTTTCTCCTGTTCCTGGAGTTCCTCTAATCCAGATCCCCTTTGCGTGAGTCAGGATGGCCCTGTCACAGAGAGGCTCAGTGACAGATGAGACAGATGAGACTATCAAATGCTGGTTTTTCAAAATTGCTACCAAGCTGGCCGTGATGGTACATGCCTGTAATCCCAGCACTAAGGAGGCGAAGGCAGGAGGATCAGGAGTTCGAGGCCAGCCTGAGCTAGA